TTTTTATTTATTTTTGGGACAGAGAGAGACAGAGCATGAACGGGGGAGGGGCAGAGAGAGAGGGAGACACAGAATCGGAAACAGGCTCCAGGCTCCGAGCCATCAGCCCAGAGCCTGACGCGGGGCTCGAACTCACGGACCGCGAGATCGTGACCTGGCTGAAGTCGGACGCTTAACCGACTGCGCCACCCAGGCGCCCCTATTCTATTCTTTAACTTACAAATTTTTCTTTAAAGAAATGAATGCTTATGTAAGTGTTAAGCACTTGAAAAGCTAAGTAGTATGATTAGATGCTTAGACAAGGAAAAGTAATCTTGTGTCAATAAAACTTTTCTCTTTTAAAGGTTCCTCATAACTGTGTTGTTTGGGGCTAGTATGTTTTCTCAGTCACTTTCACCCATCTGTTCTCAGTCATCTGCGATTTTTCTTACGCTTTCTGGTCTGCTGCTGGTGACTTTTTTGTTTTCTAAGACTTTGATAATTTGTCATTTCACTTATCTATTGTTTCAACGGGCCCTTCAAATGAAAGGATATAGATATGTGTTCCCTCTGCCATAATGCACCAGAAGCCTCTGAGTGTTGCTTTTAGAAAGTTAGATGACTTTTTATCTCTCTAATCAGGCTTCGCTTCTATTTAAAGTATTATGTGAATATATAGCGTTTTTTACATTTACTGAACACAAAGGATCCAACATGTGACAACTCCATTCACTCAGCCTAGATTAATTGAATGTCCACTCTGAGCCAGACACGGCTTCAGTTGTTGGTGATATAGCAGTGAGTAAAAACTAAGTGCCTGCTTTCATGGATTTTACATTTAGTCAAGGGAGATAGACTAAAATATGTATAATTTACATATGCTGGCAAAGTATTTTCTCTGAAGAATAAAAAATTTAACTAGTGGGCTCCTGGGTGGCTCAGTCAGTTAGGCCTCCAACTTTGGCTCAGGTCATGATCTCAGGGTTCGTGAGTTTGAGCCCCGCATCAGGCACTGTGCTGACAGCTCAGAGCCTGGAGCCTGCTTCTGATTCTGTGTCTCCCTCTCTCTCTCTGCCTGTTACCCACTTGTGCTCTTCTCTCAAAAATAAATAAACATTAAAAACAAAATTTAACCAGCTTCATTTATTTAGTGAGCATGAGAGTGGAGGGGGGCAGGGAAAGAGGACACAGAGAATCCCAAGCAGGCTCCGCCCTATCAGTGCAGAGCCTGATGTGGGGCTCGAACTCATGAATGGGGAGCTCATGACCCAAGCTGAAATCAAGAGTCAGATGCTTAAGTGACTGAGTCACCCAGGCACCCCAGAGTATACTAATTTAATATCCTCATCAGGGATTTCATTTTTCATCAGCCAGTCTTTTAAAAGTGAGATTATGTAACCATTATGTTCTTGTCAAAAAACCATCTAGGAATAGCTGTGCATTGGGTAGATGCTACTGTGGAAAGTGGTGTCTCGTGTGCAGGAGATTTACTCAGGTCGGTGGCTACTGAAGGGAAGGCAAGGGAAGGAAGTAGGCTTAGGTAGGAGGAAATCAGGATGCCCTAAAGTCTCAGCAGAACCCTCAGTTGACCCTCCCAGGAGTTCTGAAGATGAGTTGATACTTCAGAGCTTTCCTGAGTTGTCTACGACCTTTATACCCCCACATGGAATCAGTCATTCACTGTGGGCTGCTCCAGGAAGTGGGTGTGACCATAGGTGAGATTCAGATCTCTGAAGGAGACTGTCAGCTGGGGATTATCTACTGGTAACATGTCCAGCAGCTGGTATAATAAATGCTCCATTGCTAATGGGGGATTTTAGGGTGGGATGGGGAGGGGGAAAGTCAGATCATAGCATCCACCACAGGTGTCATTAGGATTTGGTTTGAATTCTTCTATTTTTTAACTGTGAGAGACTGGCAAATATTCCTTTGTGTTTTGATTTTTAAATCTGTAAAATAGGTTAGTATGTCCAGTTTGACAGTTCTTGTGAAGATTATATAGATAAAGTTTATTTATTTTTTTAATTTTTTTTCACATTTATTTATTTTTGAGACCGAGAGAGAGAGAACATGAACAGGGAAGGGGCAGAGAGAGAGGGAGACACAGAATCTGAAACGGGCTCCAGGCTCTGAGCTGTCAGCCCAGAGCCCGACGCGGGGCTTGAACTCACAGACTGTGAGATCATGACCTGAGCCGAAGTTGGACGCTTAACGGACTGAGCCATGCAGGCGCCCCTGATAAAGTTTGTTTAAAAACCCAGAGCACACTCAGTTTTCTATAAATGTTTATAGGCAAAGGAAATAAACAGTGATATTTCCTTGTCAAAAGTACATTTTCTGGAAGATGGATTTCTCTTAGTATTTCTTCTACATCCAATTAAGAAATGTTTGAATCCTTCTTATATTTTTTAAAAAGTATTTTGTAAACTGTATATATGTTGTATACACACATATAATATGCATACATATATACACACAAATTTAAAGAACTGTTATAGGAAAGTGTAGGTCGTAATAAGAGAATTTTTTTATTACTTTCAAAAAAATGCTTTAAGGTTCTTCCAAATTGTAGCTGTCTACTACCATGACAATTGGATTTCTAATTTTTAGATATTAAATTATTTTTTATTAATACTTGTTTATTTACTCTCGAGTTAGTTAATATGCAGTGTAGTCTCAAGCCCTTATTATGTTAATAGTACTGTGACTCTATGAAACAGTCTGAGGATTTTTGTCTCCCAGTTGTATACAATTTAGTTGAGGATGTGTTATCAGTGTATGAGTTAAATAACAAAAGATGAAACATAAGACACATGTTGGACAGGTTTAAAAGTATGGACCATTGGGCTTATGTGGTTAAAAACTGTTTAATGGAAGTTGATGTTGAAGTGCCTATTAGAGAATTGATCCTCACCTCCCTCTATAAACTGGGAGGGCCTTGAACCTCCCTCTAAATACTGGGCCAAGTATTAAAACTTGGATCATCAAGGTCTTATGTGTGGGAGTTACGAGTAAACCAGATGAGTGCAGTAGAGTATTTGTATTGGGAATGGTGGGTTCAAGTTGAGAATGGGAATTAGAACCAGATCATCAAAAGGTAGAATTACAGGTTTAGGAGACCTCTACATAGAGATAGTAGTTAAAACATTGAATATGAATTAAGTTTCAGAGAGAAAGAAAGAATGACAGAAGATGAATGTGAGAGAGAATGTAAAGAGTACCTTGTGATTGAAGACCAAAGGAAACTTAAGCGTTCATTCAGTATAGCAGACGGAGAGCCAGGGAAGCTTACTGTTATGAAAGCCAAGGCAAGAAGTTCTCAGAGGCAGGGATACAAAGCTGTGAGATGCTTAGAAAGATTATCAAGAAAAGGGCAATCCATTTTGAGGCTCTGCTCTTTGCTTACCTTGGATAGCCCATAAAGACCAGTTTTAAACTTTTTTTTTTTTTTTTTTTTTTTTTTTTTTTTTTTTTTTTTTTTGCGCAGATGACTAAAATTTGAAATTCCTTATTTCCTACTCTGTGTTCTGTGTTGCAGCTACCCATTTCTGTTCACAGTTCCTTCCTTTCTTGAACAGGTATTTCTTAAGCATCCATTCTGTGCCAGGCACTGTGTTGGTTGCTAGGAATATAATGAACAAAATAAAACCCCTGCTTTCACCAAACTTACATTCTAGCTGGGGTAGATGGTAGACTATAAACATTGGTTTACCTGCTCAAGTAGTAGAAGAGGTTGGTCAGAGAGGTAGCCAGGGTCTCGTAGACTCCACTAGGGACTTTGGATTTTACTCTTCATGAGACAGAAAGGCATTTGAAGAGTTTAAAACAGAAAGGACATGAACTACATTAATTTTGTAAAACCGTTAGGACAGAATTTGACACATAGGCATCACTCTATAAATTTTTATTAGAGTCATTCAGTCTGTTTGACTTACATTTGAAAGGGGATTGTGTCTGGCTACTGAGTGGAGATGTGATCATAGGGAGCCTTCTCCTGGCTCCTTGGAGGAAGTCCCAGGCCTCTGCTCTAAAACAGTTTGTTGCGGTTTTAAATTTTATACTAAATAGCCACTACGTAGATTTATTTGAATACTGTTGCTTATCTAACACTAATACAAACAAATACACATTTATGTCTGTTCCTATATTCTTTGGGTATCTACCTAAAATATTAGTCTTATTTTAAACCCAATTTTGGCAAATGTGAATTCTTTGGGAAATGGTGAAAATGAAGGTGTGAGGTCTAAAAATCATGCCACATGAAGAATGGGTGATGGTCTTATGGGTGGTTAATTTGTGGAAGTGAGGGCTGGGGAAGAGGACTTGACAGATCTTGGTCGAATTATTGAAGAGCTGTTTCTTAGATGAAGGGTGGACTTTTGGGGGAGGGGAGATCTGCAACCTGTGATTGGAACAGATTTCAGTTAAATATAAGGCAGAAGTTCATCAATAATAGAGCTGTTCATCTGTGGAGTGCAGTGCCTCACAAAAGAGTGAGCTTTTGATAACAAAATTAAAGCCAAAGTGGGACAACCATCAGAGCAGTTAGGGTGGCCTACCTGAATGAGAAGGGAGATTGAATGAAAGTTTCTCACAAATCCACTATTTTTACTTTTTTTTCTACTAAGTTATTTATTTTGAGAGAGAAAAAGCATGAGAGGGGCAGAGAGAGAAGGAAAATCCCAAAGAGAGAAATCCCAAGCAGGCTCCATGCTGTCAGCACAGAGCCTGATGTGGGGCTTGAACTCACAAACCGTGAGATCATGACCTGAGCTGACACCAAAAGTCAGACGCCCAACCAACTGAGCCACCAAGGCGCCCCCACTATTTTTACTTTTAAGCATTATTTAATATGGATTTTTTGTTTTTACTTTATGGAGATAGTTTACCGGAAGCAATGCATGTTGAGGCACTCACAAAATAACTGATGTTCATCTGATTTTCAGGCACTTAGTGTTATGTAGAGTATCATTAGTTTTGGTCATTGTCAGACTTAAAACTCCTTTTTTTTTTTTTTTCAGGGATATCATGATAACACATTTTGAACCTTCAATCTCCTTTGAGGGCCTTTGCAGTGAGGTTCGAGACATGTGTTCTTTTGACAATGAACAGCTTTTCACCATGAAATGGATCGATGAGGAAGGTGAGTGGTAAAGAGAGGGCTGCCTGTGTAAGCATTGATTTAAGATACTATTTTGTCATTTGTTTTCTTTTTTAAAGTTTATTTATTTTGAGAGAGAGAAAGAGAGTATGTGCACACACGCATGAGTTGGGAAGGGGCAGAGAGAGAATCCCAAGCAAGTTCTGCACTGACGACTCAGAGTTCCATCCCACAAACTGTGAGATCATGACCTGAGCCGAAATCAAGAGTCGGATGCTTAATCAACTAAGCCACCCAGGCACCCCTGTCATTTGTTTTTAAAATGTAGTAAAAGTTCAAATTATTTAGGACTATTAGGTATATTAGAAATTTTATGTTATTCTTATTTTGCTTCAAGCACTTAAAGAAAAAGAATACCAAAGGGTACAATCTTTGTTTTGTCCTTTTTACTCCAAAATAGAGTGAAATTAATGTGACTTGTTTTCCACCATTAATGTAAACATCTCATCAAATAGTGTTACATTTTGCTTTAATTTTGAAGATGAGTATTGTCTTATATTTTAGAGATTACCTTCAATAATCTGGCAGTGTTTTTTTGCTGAGTACTGTAAATACTTCAAAGAAAGTGCTACAGAATAAAAGTGATTGTGATAGCCATGATTTCAGAGGTGGTGGCAGAGACTTGATACCTTAATGACTTGGACTCAGAAAACATCTATTGAACATCTGTGTGCTGAAGATAGAAATTTTCTTTCTTTTTTTATTTTTTTTATTTTTTTAATGTTTATTTCTGAGACAGAGAGAGACAAAGCATGAGTGGGGGAGGGACAGAGAGAGAGAGGGAGACACAGAATCAGGAGCAAGCTCCAGGTTCTGAGCTGTCAGCACAGAGCCGGACGCAGTGCTCGAACTCCCAAACCGTGAGATCATGACCTGAGCCAAAGTCAGACGCTCAACCGACTGAGCCACCCTGGCGCCTCTAAGATAGAAATTTTCTATATTCACACTCATAGTCTCATAGGGAGATGGACATGTAAATAACAAATGTGATAAGTTGAACATAAGTGCATAGGCATCTTGGAATCCAAAAGAACCAACATCTCCATGTCCTTGAAATATTTGTGACATTTGGACTAAAAATAAAGAGTAGAAGTTTTTGAAGTGGAGGAGGTGAGGGGAAAACCACTTTTGATGAAGAATTAAAAAAGAGACGGAGGTGTGAAGAACATGGTATATGTGGAAGAGCAGTAATTCACTAAATTAAAGTGCAAGGTGTAGAGAGGTGTGGATGAGGGCTAGATCCTTGCTCCTTGGTGCGGTCTGTGAATTTTTGGAAAATGGGACTCTCAGGCCCCATCACAGATCCCTGGATCTGAACCTACACTTTAATAGGAACTCCAGGTGAGTGCATACATATTTTTTTAAGTTTATTTATTAAAAATAAAGTTTATTTATTTATTTTGAGAGAGATCACGCACATGCACGCATGTGCAAGCATGAGTTGGGGAGGGACGGAGAGGGAGAGAGATTCCCATGCAGGCTCCAACCTCTCAGCACAGAGCCTGATAGCAGGGCTCAGTCTCTTGAACCGGGAGATCATGACTTGAGCAGAAATCAAGAGTCAGATGCTTAACTGACTGAGCCACCCAGGTGCCCCAAGTTGCATGAATATTAAACTTTGAGAAGCTTAGGATTCAATCCTGGAAGCCTTTGCAAACCACATAAGATTTTATCTTACATGATGGAACGTCATTGAAGTATAGTTTAAAGATACCCTGGGGCGCCTGGGTGGCTCAGTCGGTTAAGCGGCCGACTTCGGCTCAGGTCACGATCTCACACTCCGTGAGTTCGAGCCCCGCGTCGGTCTCTGTGCTGACGGCTCAGAGCCTGGAGCCTGTTTCCGATTCTGTGTCTCCCTCTCTCTGACCCTCCCCCATTCATGCTCTGTCTCTCTCTGTCTCAAAAATAAATAAACGTTAAAAAAAAAAAAAAAATTTAAAGATACCCTAATTAGGGGCGCTTGGGTGGCTCAGTTGATCGGTCTTCCAACTCTTGATTTTGGCTCAGGTCATGCATGATCTCATTATTTGTGGGATCACCTGCATCTCATTTTTCCGCTGACAGTGTGGAGCCTGCTTGGGATTCTCTCTCTGCCCCTTCCCTGTGCACGCCTACTCACTCTCTCTCTCTCAAAATAAACATTAAAAAAAAAGGAAGACACCTTATATATACTAGTTTTGTATTATGACTTTCTCTTAATTGTAATGTGAATGGAATTTCATTTTAAGGAATGTCATAATATTTAGCTCAATATTTGGGACATTTCTGTGTTTTCTGATGTGAAAAGCACTGGAAAGATATCCCAACTCCAAGCTATAGATAAACTCAAACGCATTGTCATTTTCTTTTTTTTTTTTTTCAACG